CATATGATAAAACCTTTCTAGACTGGATATGGTTTTGTAGCCCTCGGCCATATAGCTACACATCGTCGCAGTTTTGGGCACTTTGCCACACGACCTTGAGCCACAAAAGCCAGTTCCTTAAATATTATTGTAGAATTTTAGTGATTACTGATGGAGTGACGGACTTTGACAAAAATACCACAAAATACCAAAATTCGAAATATTAGTTTACATGTAAATCCCCAACTCATGTATTTTTATTCTCTATTTTGATATCTTTTTTTTTTATCCGTTAAAAAATTATTTTTCAACTTAGCCTTGAAAATGCTAGTGGATGAGCTGCGTCTTTTTGATAAGGGAACATAGCAATGATACAATGTGTGTAAAATACATTTTTTACATGAAATTCGAACACGTGCCGACGACTGTTGAAAAAACAAAAGAATTACATATTCTACATGACAGAGGGCAGCAACATCAAGAAATCCCTACTTCACTCCTTGATTTGAGACCTATAACCTGCAACTTTCAAAAGCACAATGCCTAGTTTGTTCGAGAGAGAGAGACAATCAGATCATGAGAAAGATGCTTATATATGTCTCATGAACTCAACTCAACTCAACTCAATTTAATAAATGTTTAAAAACTTGAAGCCTCATAAAAAAAAAATGTTTTTCAAAAATGCTAGAACATTTGACGGTGTACATATTTTACACTTAATTTGTCAAACAAGGGCGCTGTGTAAACTAAGAAAAACTAGGTAAACAGTGTAAACTAGGTGAACTAATTTAAGTCCGGAGATCGACCCACATGTTTTTTTGGTGGTATCCACACTGGCCTGAAATATTTTTTGTTAGGTCTTAACAATATTTGGATATCTGTTATATGGTAATTTCAATGAATATTTCATTTCATAGACACAGGTTTGCTTAGATTTACTTGCATGTCTACTTTTTTACTTTTTTTTTTATAGAAAACTGACGGGGATGTGCTGTGACAGGGGATTGTTCATCTACTACAGCGGGATGACAAACACAAATTTACAACTCGCTAGTCTCTGCAGTATCAGAAAACAGAAAGCAGCAGACAACTATAGATAAAGTGTCTATCATAAACAACAGGTAACTATATAGATGCAGGTATGATGCAGGGGTATAGGGTTATCACATAAAGTGGCATTAATATCATGTCGTGTCTATTAAAGATAAAAAGGATACTTTGTAGTCACATACATCTAAATGCATGCAACTTCTGTTTCCCTTTACAGGGGACTTGAACACTTCAGTGTTTAGACAAGGGACTATTATACTGGTAGGTATAATTTTTTTATCAACACTGTAAACACATGTACCGGGGGTATGTCACGAAAATACATATATAATTACAAAGCAGATGTAAACTCCTCTCTGTTTATGAAAACCATAATATATTAAATATTAAATATTGCTACTATTAATAAAATGCTGCTTTTAATGGCTATTTATTACAATAATTTATTCGATGAGCCTCAGCTTTGCTACTAAAAATCATACTTATAATTATAAATTTATTGAGTTTTCAGATTGCTAACAAAATTTGTACTAACAAGTACAAAGAGGATGCTAATAAATACGTTACCATAGTAAAAAATAATTACTGGATTAATTTGAGGACATTGTGCATTCTATATCTCAATAAGGCCAGGTAGTAGAACAAACATTCAGAACTTGTGTCATGCGCGAAAGGTGCCAAAATGTATTTCATAATAAATAACCAGCTGTCAAGATAATTTTTTGCTTTTATCTGTGGAAAATTCTATAATTTTTCTATATTAATATGATTAATGTTGTCCACATCTAGATTGTTAGTTTATAATTGTTAGATTGCTTGTTCATAATAATGAGTCATGATGTTTATGCACGCAAGAGAGGTCACATGACATCCTTCAGGGTTAAATGACACCCATGTGTTTTTGACAAGAGTGTATATTTAAAGTGCATGTACCAGTAGAATGTACAGCAGTGTTATTTTGTATCAATCAACAATGTGATTTCATATATAAAAGAACACATTTCAACACTAAAAATCCACAATAAAATCCTAGGGCAGAGAAATACAATTATATGTTTCAGGCATGATAAAAATGCACAAATGAAGTGATAAGGCATTCATTTTATTTACTTTTTTCATCTGTGGGGTGGGGTAGGTTGTCGAAGGTCAGGGTTGGGTGGGGGTACGAGCATAGGTCAAAGCATACATTTTTCAGGTGAGCAGGCTGAACACAATCTACTTTTCCAACCCTTAATGATAAAACATGTATATTTAAATTTGCTGAATCAGCAAAAGATGAACACTAGATAATCCAAACCATCTACCTTGTAATTAAACGCACATTTTCAATGCCAGCAAATTGTTAAAATCCTTAGCTCACGATCGATGAGCACTAGAATGAATATAATCAGTAGATGTGACAAAACAAAATGAAAAATAAGTACTAAACAGTACTTTAAAAACATACCAAACCTATTGAAAACCTCAATGCTTTTTTTTGGAGGGGGGGGGGAATTGCTGGTAAATTGAATAGCATGGTTGAAAAAGTAAATATGTACAACATTAATTCTTATGTGGTCAAGTCAATGTAAAGGTACATGGGGCTGAGATTAGGACATTTCAAATAACTTGTATGAGTGATGACATTTCTAGATACCAATTTACACACAAGTGTAATTAAACTGGAGACCTAAAGCGGTGTTTACATGCCAAATATAGCCACATACTTGTTCTACAATCCATGAAATATAGAAACAAATTGTAAAAATGACAGACAGTCTCCAATACTTCAAGTACCTTGACATTTTGTAATACTTCAAATATTTCAATTTTTAAGTGGTTTTATTTTGCTTTTAATTTCCTGCGAAAAAAAAAATTATACTATATTTGCTCTATTAGAAGAATATAATTGATAGAAGTGAACGTAAATAAAAAAAAAAAAAAGAATTTATTGTAGGCTAGGATCACAAAAATATGACTTATTTTAAACCAGACACCTCCATCATTAATAATGTGTAAGGCTAAAGAATAAAGCAAATTCCATATATTGCAGTTCTATTCAGTTCCCTGACATTTACATAAACTTGTGACATAGGTTACAGGCGTTACTAAGCAGCTGTTCCTTCTTCTTTTTTTTCAATTCAGTATTGTAACCCTTTTTTACTCCCTCACTTTTGTCAAACTCATCTGTACCATTCATCAACTTTTATGTCACAACCCTGCCACAACAAACAGTTTGTTTGTTTTTCTTTCAATATTTTAAGCCATTATTCTCCTTTTATTCTCGTCACTTTTCAGTAAAAAGTCGTCATTCCTTTGACATGATGTCATCAACCTTTATGTCACAAACAAGTACTCTACAGAAATGCATGTAAGCACCCCAGGAGTGTAATTACTTGTACAGTTTCACCCCAAGCCTCAAAACTAAACATACCACTAAAAATCTCTAAACAATTGTAGAATATTCCATGTTTGCATGAAATTCATTGAAGAAATTGAATAAACAAAAATCCAATTCACTGAAAATTCAATTTCCATTAACATTACAAAATAAATAATTTTTCTGAGTTATAATGCTGCTCTAAAAACTCTTCTCTTAAAGCGGAGTGCCGTCACCTGCGCACGCGCAGGAATCGAGTCCCAAGCGACGATAACACACTAAAATGCAAAGACTCATGGGTAGACGCTTGTTTGTAAACAATGACTCGCTAAGGCCATCTGACGCATGCGCAGCTGACGACTCCCCCGCTTTAAAATTAACTTATGCAGACGCCACTGGATTATATATTTTTAATTTCCATTTCACCAACCCTGAGGTAACAGCACATTTTACTTTTGAAATATGGATTGAACACTACATGTACATTTAAGTTCACAAGACCGTACAGTCATGCAAGTACTTTTCACACACAAAAAAAGGGGCAAATATCTCGGAAAAATGAACATTTTAAAGCACAAAAATTACAACATAATGAGTGCTATGTAAACTATAAATGAATTATTAGAAAATTTGAATTATTCATTTTAATAAACTATATGCTTTAACATGGATGGAAACACCTAAAGAAATTGCATTTATAGATATTAAGTTCTGCCTTTTGTTTTTCTTGAAAAACAATTTGTAATGAGCCCTGTAGAGCCAAAGAATGTAGGAACAAAATACATGTAGGTTGATCTCAAAAATTAATGTAATACAATTAGTCAATGTGAACAAAAGTACATGAGGCCAAATAAATAAGTATATATCCGACACATTTTTTTTTAAATTGAAAAAGTTTATTTTATGCAAATGAGCCCCCCAAAAAAACCAAATTAATATGCAAACTAGCTATTGTCATTCCATTAAAGTTTAATTTTTTTAATTTTATTTACTCCCATATACATGGTGAATAACTAGCATTTAGTTGTATGGAGTACAAAATTGCTGACTAGCTTTTTTTTTTTTTTTTTTTTAAAAGACTGATTCATACAGGTTGCAGAGGTAAATCCATTGCTTGAAAAATTAGTTTATTCCATTTCTCATTCAAATTGTGCTTTTATTTTTATTTTGTATGAAAATTTTCTTTCTTTCATTCCTCTATAATTTTTTGAAAGAGACCAAACAAACATGTGTACCCAAAAATACATCGAGTGTTGTCAGCACAACAAAATTCTCCCCGTGTGCCATGATTTGGGGGTGGGGGTTAAATTAAAGCTCCAAGCAACAATAAAGATATCACGTTTTAATGTTGTGAACGACATTTTGTTGCTGAAAGAATTGCGTAATCCGTCATAGACATAGTAACAACGAAATGGATCTTGTTGCCAATATTGGCTTTATTGTCATTTGGCAGCTTCAACGTCAAACAGATTTTACCTGTACAAGTTCCATAAGTCGTAATACATATACTGTCATCTATTCTCGTTAAATTTCAATGTTGATTTGGGCAAAGGAGGCGGGATTGAAGGTAAGAACACCAGAACATTAAAATTACTATACAAAGTATACTTACCGTCACTGTCTACGTTGTGGCCTGACAAGCTTACCCCAATCGCGTCGCTACCAATTTCTGTCACGCTCGTTTGGTTGGCACTTAAAATTACGGGCGCTCCAGCCACTCCGTCCCCGCTCAATCGTCGCCCAGAGCCCATGCTACTACGAGGGGATGGACTTGAAGACGACGTAGACGTTGTTCTTCTCCTTCTATGTACAGTCTCTGATGGTGTTTCGTTTGGTCCGACATCATTTGCACTTACATCTAGCGCGTGGTTCACATGTCCGTTGCCTTGGACAAAGCTGCTTTCATTTTCTTGGTCGGTGACAATGACTGTGAGTTCCGTTGACTCTCTGCCAGTACGGGGCAGTTTGGAGCTCATGTCCAAGCTATTACGTACTGTCACAGGTTTGAGAAGCACTTTAAAGTTCCAAGTCGGCTCTCGCTCAATAGCTGATTCTCTCGAGAAGCCTCCAAAAATCTCAAGATGACGAAAACACAGAATAAATGTGGGGAGGGAAATCCCGTTTTTGGTGAGAAAAATGCGTACTTCCACGTCAGGCAGACTACAATAAGTATGGTCTAACAAAGTGCTTTGCTACAACGAATAATCGCTGACTAAATTAACAGTTTTTGATTTGTTTAACCAAAATCTAGTAAGACACATATATTACTACATGCTTCGGGAAAATTTACCCACTACCGCGCGAATGACGTCATTGACTCCTTAAGTCGGCTGGTTTTGTTGAGTGGGGGATTTATTGTGGCTGCTTTTAATGACGTCGCCTAGAACGAAATTTATTCATATTTAGGATAATGGAATGTCAGAGGTTATTCTATTAAGATTACAATTCATGTATACATGACCAATAATCTGTCTTATATAACTTGCAATAAACTGGGCAACCGAAACATTGGGAAAAAAAGTCGCGGCACGGGACCTCTACACTGATACCAGACGGACACCTGCATACAGCCATTACCCTAAAACTGCAAAATCTGGACACTTTGCTCGTAGAGGGGTATATAAAACAATAACATTGGTAATTTAAGAACAATTGCTTTCCAGGGTTCTTGAAATCGGGGTACAGAAATATCACGTTCCAGCTACTATTAGTTTCAACGTTCATTCAATTGTAAATGTACATATTTCAATCCGGGTTTGCACAAAACAAGCAATAGTCTCATTTGAAGTTTCACCCGGTTGAATAACGTCTTCTATATTGTCTATGACAATATAAGCCCGGAAGTACATTGGGCAGGCATGATATGAAAAAATATGCAATTAACATTTTAGGAGTTAAATTATTTCATTCAACATAACAGATTAAGACAAATAATTTTTAATTTTCAACTGTCGATTTATATACGTCAACTCTGACTGATATCGATGTCTAATTTTAATAATTTTAGGGGTGGGGTAGAATAAACAAGAGTCTAAATAAGACCGGCGAATTGCTGTAGATATATCCGAATTCAAACGTCTGAAATACACCCACCACCCATCAACTTGGTAATTTAAATAAGGGGTACATTTTCCAATAAGCTTGCGTGGTCTGGTGTACAAATGTTGTCAAATTAGACAAAACAGTCTGAACGAACACGCGACTCTATTATTTCAACAATTACACGTCTCGTGGTTAAAAATGAACTAACAACAACATTAGGTAACGATAAATTATAATTGTTCGCGCGATATAAAGTCATACAACCTTCCAATTACGCTTATCTCAGATAAAAGACATGATACGTGCTTAACATGCGTGGACAAGTGGTTCACCTTTTGAAATCGTACCTCAAACTCTTCACGTTTAGAAACAATTATTCACCCGATCTTTCACACGGTAATGAAGTAAAAATCAATATATATATTGATTATTTGCTGGGGTGACTGTGTGCCAAAAACAAATGTTCGAAGTTTTCCCAACCTTGCTCATCTTTGTCACTCTATTTATATTTACACATTCACGTTCATAAAATGTGGGAAAAGCGAGTACACGGCGTGAAATAACAAATAACGTAATGCAAGTTGTATACTGCATAGCTTTGAATTTGTTATCAGTAAAAACAATGTGATGTCCGTATCTGTCACTATTTCATCATGCTGATTAACAGCTCGCTTGTCACAAATTAAATACAACAAATGACCAAAATAGAATCTTACCAGACAGGATAAGATATGACCTCTTTTTGACACTACATCTTGTAGTTAGAAAAAAAATATCGTTGCCAATTACAATCCATCGTTTTGTGCAACGATTTTACAAACTTTAGTTAATTTGATTTATCTATTACCACCTAAATATCTGAATGAGCAGAAATGCCATATTTGGGCATATATTATTACGCCATCTCTAAAACACGTGTAACACGAATTACAAACCGTAGTCTTAATGAACAATTAGTTTATTCACAGCATTGGAAGTTCTGAATTATTTATTTTCTTCTACCCTATATATTGAGATAATTCTGTAAACGGTGGACACACGTGTAGGAAGGTGCGATGACAGGTGTTTGATTCGGTACCCGTAATATATCATTATTGACAGAACGTCTCGTATATATATATAATTAATTTCACCACGATGTGTGGATATTCTGCAAACAATATATTCGACTTGTGTTTAAAATCGCCCTGTAACATTGCTTTCGACATTCCAGTAAATAAAATGTTTGTTTCGGCATTCATTGAGATGAAATAATAATGAAAAGGGCTAGTGCGCATGCGCCTTGAATCAGGGCGCATAAACATATGCGTTTTACATTTGTTCATCTAACATTGTTCATTGGTTAATCATGTTTGCAAAGCCACCTCCTACCCTCACCCCCCAAAAAACAAACAAAAAACAACGTTGTACTTTCCGATAAATCCCACTGTGATAAAATATGAAACTATTCACTTTTTACAATAAATAACCTCAAAAAAAAAAGAAAAAAAAGAAAAAAAACCCCACTGCCTCTCAGAAATTAAAGACGTATATAGTTCAAAGAAAAGAAAGAAATGCTTACTAGTAACACGGTAACTCGTGTATACAATACTTTTTTAAAGGTAATTCTGCATTCCAGCAGTTCATTATGTCTGTGCCTTGTTTGTCACAAAGATGACATACTTCCTTAAATTGACCTGTCACCGGCATTGGGGTTGGTGTAACCAATATATTTTGTACCACAATATACAAAGGTCATGCATTAGAAGTAAATTAATTATGTATTACCAATATTTATATAGGATTTCCATATCCAGATTACGCGCACCTGTTCACTGGTTAGGTCAAATGTCAGATTAGACTCAATTTCCAGTATCTGTCCCTCGCGTATACTAGTACATGTACATTTTTTTGATAGCGTTCATTTTTTATTAAAACTTTATATACAACGTTAGTGAGGAGCAATTTTGAGTACTGTTCTCATGTGCGGTCTTCTTCACGAACATTTCTTGTCAATAAAAATTAGTTCAAAAGAAATGTATCAAATTTGTGTGCCAGTGTACAATTAGTTCTCCGTATAATGAGTATAATATCACAGATAAATATAAGTTACTGAAGTATTGTGAAAACGTGAGGTATTGTGAAAACGGCTTAATGAATCGTACATTCAAAATGAATCCGTAACCAAACGCGGCCATTAAATAATGATCGAGAATAATCGATAATACATAACACATCCTTTACCCGTTTTGGTGTTTTGGGTCTCATCAATGTAAACGCGACTACGCCCCGTTTGTCCCTTTTGACATATAACGAGTAATGTTAAAAATCATTTCGTTGCATGGACGCATTTAGTCAAGCAGTAGAAGACGTGACGAATAGTGGCGGCTACCGAATATGAACCACGAATATTCGATATTACATATCACATGACACCCTATACCCTTTTGACCAGTTTGATGTCCGCTTGGCGTAGATACGCGCGGCGATATTTATTCCATCAGGGATTGGCCATTAAAACTCGGAGGTAGATTTTATTATAAAATATTGCAGGGACAATTTCACTAAACCAAACATTTTTTTTTTAAATAGCATTTTTTAACACATTCATTCATTCATAACACATCCGTCGTCGCACCCCCGAACAATTTCGCGACCGCTTGCGCCCACGGGCGTAAGGAATGGTGAGCAGATCTGCCCCCCCCCAAATGCAAAACATCGTGCCGCCGCCCTGTATATATGTACTACAAGATTGGTCTTTAAATTCAAATGTTCAGTAGTTTCGATTGAAACCATTGACTTCAACGTCTTATTGAACTAGCCGTTATAGCCATGTGGGAGGTGACGGAAATAAAGGAGGGGTATATTATTTCCGGGGTCAACTCCACCTGTAGCATAGCGAACTTTGTAATATTACCGGTAACTGTAAAACAACCGCCCAAAATGTTGTTGCTTTAAAATTGTCCGTCCTCCCTTGCAAAATATACTTGTCGTCCCATCACAGGTTAAAGACGCGCAAAACTCTGGGACTCAGCCGAAATAAATTCAGGCCAATACAGATAAAAGTTGATTATTTGCAATATTCTAATTTGGAGAGGAACTGAGGGAACAAATGGGCGCGTATTTGTTTTACTGATGTTAAAAACGCGCAAAAGGGTAAAGGGTGCGTATGCGATGTTTGATCTTAAATATCCTTAAGCGATGGCCACGATTGGTCACGGATGATACGATTGTGTCTAATTGGCTACTGAGTACCAAACACTAACACTTGACGCCAATGAGAAAGCAGCTTGTTTGCATCTCGATCAATGCGAAAGCAGCTTGTTTGCATCTCGACCAATGGGAAAGCAGCTTGTTTGCATCTCGACCAATGAGAAAACAGCTTTTTTTTTTTTTTCGACGTACCAAATTCTGCCTTGTGTATACGCTTCCACTGCAATTGTTCGTTATATACTAACGATACAAATGGTGAACTTTGTGCATCCTGGAAGAGGTGGGGGGGGGGTCGTCGGAGGCTTGAAAGTTATCTACTTTTGCAATCAAGAAAGCGACATACATCAATAACCTGCAGCTGATTGTTAATCCTTGAAATTCAACAGAAGCGTGTACAAAAATAAACTAATCGCTATTTTTGGCGGGGAACGGCTCCAATACAACAAAAATCACAAAATAATATATCCTAAAAAAAATAGTCCTTTGCGCTATATTCGTTAAAAATAGTGAATATTTTCGCATTTTGGCTGATTCGTTCAGTTGGGCTGACGTTGGCGGACATACGGTCTATATATATGAGGTATAACAATGCCTGTCATAAATGAGCGCACTTTCACTCTACGGAATGTCACACTCCCTCAACGATTGTGGGAATGTTCACCTGCGTGCGAAGTTGATACATTTTACAATGTAACGTGACTGAAATAATTTGGGCATTTACAGAGAAGCCAATGAACTTTCATGTAGATCAAGGCGATCTATCGGTCTTGTCTGGCACATTCACAAGATGTTGACCATCAGTGTAGCTGTAATACTCTTGAAACATGGCGGCTACTCGTGGGATTGACTATGCAACATAGATGAGACGGTAACCATGGCTTTCTGTAACCTTGATGAAGTTTATATTAGAGCCTCAACATACATACTCCAGTGTCGGATATGTCGCAATTAATAATGCACTACTTGTGACTGTCAAAGAAAAAAGTCTATGCTTTTATTAATCGGATCATATTTTGTAACCATGGTTGTTAAAACCGTGTTATAACATTT